TGAGAAAGATATATTAGCTTATTAAAACAATGAATAGTTAATTTAATTAAGAAATGCTTAATAATCTATTGAAAGAATCATATTTCTTTTACCTTCTAACTTATTAAGGTAATAATTATTCTAATATCGAAACTTCTTTATTTTATATTTACTGTATTTGTGCACAGTGTAATATTCTTGTAAAGTGTTGATGGATTTGAGGTGCTAATATTTTAGTGTCTGTTTACATATGTGAGATTTGGCTCTAATCTTTTGGAGATATGTTATGGACTGAATATTTGTGTCTCTCAAAATTTCATGTGTTGAGGGGTGCCTGGGTAGCTCAGTTGGTTAAGCATCTGACTCTTGCTTTCAGTTAGGGTTGTGATATCAGGGTCATGGGATGGAGCCCCAAGTCAGGCTCTGTGCTGGGCATGGAACCTGCTTGAGATTCTCTCTCTCCCTCTCCCTCTGCCCCTCCCTGCTCACGTGTGCTCTATCTCTTTAAAACAAACAAACAAACAAAAAATCAGGAGTTGAAATCCAAATCCAACTGTATGATGATATTAGGAGCTGAGGCATTTAGGAGGTAATTAAGTTATGATGGTGGATGCAACATAAATGGGATTAGTGCCCTTATAAGAAGAGACAGGAGAGAGACTTAGCTCTCCATCATGTGAGAATACAAACAGAAAAGAACCAGTCAAGAAAAGTGCTTTCACCAGACATTGGGTCTTCCTATGTCTTGATCCTGGACTTCCTACCCTCCAGAACTCTAAGAAATAAATGTTGTTTAAGCCACCTGCTCCACAGTATTTTTGTTATAGCAGCCTGAATTGACTAAGACAAGGGGGGCTATTTTTGTCAGATTTGGAATCCATGAATATGTTAGAATGAAATTGGGTAGCTTTCCATTTTTCTCAAGTTTAAGCATTAAAAAAAAAAGTCTCTAAATCATGCAGTCCCATGCCTTTTTTGGAAATAGTTTTTGACAGCAATCCTAATTTTATATTTGGATCAATTACTTTCCCTAGAAAATTGTCTATTTTAGTCACAGTTTAAAAATAAAAATTTCATATAATATTGTCCTCAGTTTAAAATCCCCTTTTATTCATACTTAGATTATTTCACAAATCTTTTAAAAAGTAAATTGACAATATTTGAGCCAGGTATTGGAAGATGAGTAGGATCCATGAGGGGGAAAGGTCATAACTGGAAGAAATGTAAATGTTCTATATTTGCATAATTTCTTTTTCATCAGAAACGCAACACATTTAAAAAGACTAAAAAACAAAACAAAAACTCAAGTTGATTAAATTCTGTTTAAAGAATTAAATCTTTTTGGGGGAACTAATACATGTTCTCCAGTAAGGATGCCTCTGGATGTTTGGGAAAGTATATATTTTCATAGTGCATTTTGTTTTAGGCATAATCTGGTACCTAATCACATGAACCTGTGACTATATTTTCTTACTTGACAGAAGAGTCTTTGCAGATATGATTAAGTAAAGGACCTTGGGATGAAAAGATTATCTTAGATTATCTACATGGGCCTTATTTAATCACATGAGTCCTTCAGAGAGAAGAAAGGTAGAAGAGTAGGTCAAGAAATGTGAAGTGAGAAGGACTTGACCCACTGTTACCAGCTTTGAAGATGAAGGAAAGTGGCTGTGAGCCAAACAAATGTGGGCAGTCTCTAGAAGCTGGAAATTGCCCTCAGCTAACAGCTAGCAAGAAAACAGGAACCTCAGTTCTACAAATGCAAGGAAATACATTCTCCTCTAGAGCCTCCAAAAAGAAATACAACCATACCGAAACCTTGATTTTAGCTCTGTGAGACCCATGTTGGATTTTTGACCTACAGAATTGTTAGATAATACATTTGTTTTGCTTTAACCCACTAGATTGTGTAATTTGTTACAGGAGCAATAGAAAACTATCACAGCTTTAATACTAAGAGAATCAGAATAAAACAGTGATGATTCACATAGAAAGCTGTGGGTTTTTTTTTTTATAAAAGTGTTAGCACACACACAAAAAAACTTGGTTTCTGTTTTGGCTTGTTTCATCTAAAGCTGCATATAGTGCAATGGATGCTTAATAATTGCTCATCAAAGCAGAACTTTGAATGAAAATCTGTATATGGTGCATCAAATAATATTTGGCCATCATTGTCTCTTTAGAGCTTTATCTTACACTTAACAGTCAATATAAAATATTCTGTTAAATGAGAACATTGTATTTTAGTTCAGCTATGTCAAGAAAACATTTAGAATTTGTATACTTTATATGTTTTAAATTTCCTGTCTTGTCAAATTTCATAATCAGTGAAATATCTTCAAAACTCTCCTGTTCCACAGTTTGACATCTATTCTTCTAGATTATCTATTTTTCTTGAAATCCTAATCTTTCTCCTTAATCTTCAAGTGCATAAATGATATGCTGTGTTGGGTTAGTGATTCTAATTCTTTATTTAATAGTATCTTTACCCATTTTTACTGGATGGCTAAGATAGATGGTGTGTAATCACATCTCAACAGACTCTAAGCCAGGGGTGGGTGATGGTCCAGTGAGACCGAAGAAGACAGGTTTATTGGGGGAGAGTATGTACAGTGAGTCCAGGAGTGGCAGTCTGGACAAAGCATCTACTGGTGGAATCTACATGCAGCAAGCTTTTACAGTATAGCAACTTAGACTAGCAATTATCTGTAGCCTCTCCCTCCTTGCTTGGCCAGCATTCCAAGGAGATCAAGCCCTGTCATCTTCACATTTTTCATTACAAGGGAGATGCTACAGGTTGGCCACTCCCATAGCCCTTGTCCTTGAATGCTGAACAATACATTCTTCTACATATTCTGCTTGGTGGTAATATAGAGGGAGGACAGGATCTCTACATTCTCAAGATAGTGATTAACAGGGACATTCAGGGTATGTTTGCACAAACCAGCTTTCCAGCATGTATCGTACAATGGGGAGAGTTAAAAATCTGTCAAGATTATTAAATGGAGTTTTTGAAGCCATAGTTACCTGCAATAGTGAGCATGTCATGCCAAATTCATTATTTTAAAATCAGAATTTAAAAGCCTGGTTAGTGTGGTAATTGCTTTGGCACATCCTCTTACCTTCTCATTTAATAAGAAAAAAATTGATGCTGCTTAAATTAGTATTTGGCCATTTCAATATATAGGAGCCAGATGAAATGAAACAGAAGTCACTGAAAAGAATTGGAGTCAAACATTGCAAAGTAAAAATTATTCTCTGCCTCTTCTAATGTTCAATAAAAACCTAATTTGAAATAATTGTTCCAGTGTGCTATTAAAAGTTCTGCTTCAATCAGAATTTCTGCCAAATTACTTTGGAAAAGTCCTGAGCTTTGGGGAACTATTTGGTACAAGTGGGATGGGGCCTAGCTAACCTGATCAAGACCTCCCAGTCTTTTGAATTCTCTGGGATCTTTAGGACTCTGACCTGACTCTAAATCATCCCAGTCTGGATTCAAGTTCATTGAGATCAGCCTGTAAGGTAGACAAGTTGTGCTATTGGCCATTTTATTGTTAAGTTTTGTGACCACATGTGCTAATTTGTCTACAGCAGCCACAGTCTTAAAAAGCAAAAAAAAAAAAAAACCCAACCAAAAAAAAAGTCTCCTCCTTAGCCTATATGTCCTAATCATTTTTCTGGAGTTTAAGTGGCACCTATCTTATTTGCAGATGTTAATGACATATTCCAACTTCTGTGGGGAATCAAGCTAAGAAAGGAGTTTTGCTGGGTCAGTGCTGGTCAAGATAAAGCACACTGTGAAGCAGTAGAGTTGCTTGGACTACCATTCTTATTCCTCCTTAGAATTTGTTACTTTAGAATTTTTCTGTTTTTGTAATTTTCTTTAAGAGAGGAAGAAAGAGACTTACTTTTTTTTCTCTGTCTCTTACTCTGCAGTTAGAGTGTAAGACAGCTTACTTACTCCTCAACGGTTAGAGTGTAAGACAGCTTATTGTGTTACTTGCCTGGTCCTGGAAAGACCAAACATGTGGATCATTTAGGCTTTAGGAAATGTTTTTTCTTTTCCTTGTTTTTTTCCTCCAAATGGGGTTGGCTTCTTTCTGTGCTTCTCTTAACATCTGTGAAGAGCTGGAGAGCCAAGCAAGATAAGGGGACTGGTTTAAGGAGAAAAAAGAATTCCCTTAGCTTAAGTTTTTAGGCAGGAGACAAAAAGTACTGTATGCATGCGTTCTTTCTGAAGCTAGGGGTTTCACATTATAGTAATAAATAGCGTGCATTTGCTTTTGAATAGCTCCCTGCTGAACTTGAGCAGTAGGATATAGATGTAGATGTTGTACCCATCTCAGCATGACTAAGAAGAGGGAAATAAAATTTTCATCCTAAATATTATAAACATAACAAACACTATGACACTTAACTACAGCTGAACATATAGAAGGTCAAATGTCTGGAGAAAACATACCTCTAGGGTTTTTTTCAATTTCAGTTGGCTTGACACTACAGAGTTTTTCAAGAAAATCATTCATTTCTTATAGATCAATGATATAACTATAAGATTAATCTGTACTATCTTAATATTTTTTTTCTAAATTTGTTTTCTTTCCTATTATACATTTAACAAATGGTATATATAACTCCGAATCAACTTTGGAGAAGACAGGAAAGTTGACATCCCTGTTAGCTTTTACCTCCATTTAATTATCTGGTATTCTCATGATATTATGCATGCTACAACATCTCCCAGTGAAGTTCTTACAGTATGGTAACCCATGTGGAATTAAGGCTGGGTGGCACAGACATTTATTGTGGTGGATATTCCATAAATGAACCAAGCATGTAGCCATTTTCACCATGAATGAACATCACTCATCTTGTATATGAAAACAGAAACGTATAAATGTTGATTGAGCTCTTTGTTTTGCCTAAAATAATGCAGACTTTTTACTGTGGAATCAGCTATCTCTGATAGAATTTTACTATTCCAGGTGAGTGCAATCTTTTTTATTTTTATAAGTTAAAAGTTATTTTGTTCATCTTCGTACAAATTATTTACTGAATATGTGTAATTTCTTCTAACTTCTTTTAATTTCCAATATTTAATGGCTGCATTGTTTGTATGTTTCAGAAAAAAAAGTCAGAACTCAGAAGTAGAAAAACAGAAGAAAATGCCAGTGTAATTTTTCTGTTTACCAAAAGCAGTTTTCCTAAAATATCTTCCTCAAATATCTGACAAGTAGCACCAAAAAAAATTTCCTGCTTAATTGCTTGTCAGTTTCCACGTATTTATCTTGAACCTAAACTGATTTTTCTACAGAAATAATCCTGAGCTTATCAGTAAGTGCTAATGGATTTTTTTTTTTAATGTGGTGAGAAAGCATTTCATTCAAATTGAAGCCTTATGTTCAACAATGGTTCATCATCATGAGACAATCTTTGTGTGTAACCCACTGTGCTGGACAGTGCAAGTCCTCTGTGTGTGTGGTATTCAGGGATGATAAAGAGAGGAGAGGGTGGTTGTTGCTGGAGAGGAAGAATGGAAAGAAGAAGGCTATATCAATTTGAAATTTAGAGAAAATAAGAGTTTAGGCTTAATGACTAAAATCCAAGACTGGAACCTGGCAATTATGAGCTGGAAGGTATTCATGCAATTTATGAGTAACCCTATTTTTGGCTGAAATATAATTCAAAGGAATCACTCACTGCTTGAAAGAAAGCTCAGGTATATTGGCATAGTCACTAAAAAACATTTCTATAGAGCTTCCAGCAGCTCTTTATTACTGAAAGGAATATAAGTGGAAAATCACCCTCATTTGGGGCTTCAAAGATAGCCACCTAGAGACATTTTACTTTCTTAGTGTTAAAAGATGAAATCATAGTCCTTTTAAAATTTTTCCTATAAGATTTGTTAAAGAACAGCTTAATAACTTGTATTTTTCTTATGGATTAACTATTTCTGACCTGTGCTTAAACAGAATTTTCATGTAAAGATTTTTCTGAAGGTCACAATAAAGCTACCCTAACTTTGCAATTCTTAAAATTCAGCAAGAAGCTGTTTGAATTGAAACATCATACCTTTGGTTCCTGCTAAGCATCTCTCTGACATGCGAAGTAATCAAGACCTTCTGGTGAAACCAGTTCCCTCATCAGGGTTGAGCATGATTGATGGTGATGTGAGGCTGCTTTGCTCATGGAATTTCAAGGAGCTATGGCATGTTTATGCTAAAAGGTGAGGTTGCTCTAATTTCATAAGGATCTGATTCCCAGCACGGTGAGTGTCTGTGACATAAAACTGGTATTTGATAACTTTTTATTAAAGCAATAAATGAATGAATCTATGAAGGGATGAATGAGTTAATAAATATGGAAATGTTGTGGGGCCATAAATCCTTAATCCCAGTCAGGTGTCTTTAAAGTAGGTGGGCTCTGTCATAAGAGTTACTATTGGATAAGAAAATCCAGGGCGCCTGGGTGGCTCAGTTGGTTAAGCGACTGCCTTCGGCTCAGGTCAAGATCCTGGAGTCCCAGGATCGAGTCCCGCATCGGGCTCCCTGCTCGGCAGGGAGTCTGCTTCTCCCTCTGACCCTCCTCCCTCTCACGCTCTCTGTCTCTCATTGTCTCTCTCTCAAATAAATAAATAAAATCTTAAAAAAAAAAAAAAAAAAGAAAATCCAGAGCAATTTCAGCAAATACATGATGCAACAGCTGTCATTCCCTGAGACATGGTTAATCTATCAGGATACTCTTTCCAATCAAAGCAATCTTAGAACATTATTTCTCAATACAGTTCTCCAGGCAGCCACTACCAATCAATCACAGTTGGCACAAGAAAGTCAAATGTTTATCTTTGAAGGTGTAAGCAAATTAATACAACCCTAACACTATTAGTTTTTTTAAGAGCCTCCTGTTGTTTTATCTCTCCAGTAGTATATTTTCTACTACCCCCATTTTGTTTTATTCATTGTTTACTCAAATTGTCAAAAGGTGGGCTGGAAAATTCTACTAGATTTTATGTTTATGGAGAAACAATCATGTACCAAGAGATATTAGGTACTGTTATCTTTGTCTTAGGGGTCTTTAACTGGGCCAATCACATAGGAATCACCTGAGAATCTTATTAAATTGCAGGTTCAAACTCAGTAGGTTGAGGAAGGAAATAAGCATCTGAATTTCTAACAAGATCATTATCAGATGATGCCAATCTTTTTTTAAAAAATATTTATTTATTTATTTATTTTAGAGAGTATATGAGCCATGAGTGGAGGGGGGGCGGGGGAGGCGGGAAGCCGAGGGAGAGTGAGAAGCAGACTCTGTGTTGAGTATGGAGCCACATGTGGGGCTCAATCTCAGGATCCTGAGATCATGCCCTGAGCAGAAATTGAAAGTCAGAGACTTAACTGAGCCACCCAGGTGCCCCAGATGATGCCAGTCTTGCTGGTTGGTCCTCAGACCACTTTACTTTCAGTAGTAAGAGTAAATAATTGATTTTCAACCTTGGCTATACATTGAAATAACTGGGGAGCTTTAAAAATATTGAGACCTGGGTCCTTCCTCAGAGATTCTGACTTAATGGAACCGTGGCATGGACATTTGGATATTTATAAACTCCTCAGGTAATTGTAATATGCAGCTAAAGTTGAGAATCATCACTTCAAGCTATGTAAGCTCTGCATCTGGTACTTAATTTAGGCTAATAATAAAAATGAATTGTTTTCATGGAACTCACCTAAAAACACACTTAGCCCCCTCCCAGCCTCACCCGTTTTGATTTGGCTCTTTGCTTAGTTTCACTCTTGACTGTGATCTCTATCCTAATTTGTGCTCATGGTCTCCCATTTGATTTATCTTATAGTCAAGCTTAGACTTTTCTCAGATTACTTTGGCTTAGCTTTTTCTTTTCCTCTTAGGGTCCTTGGCTCTCTCTAATACAAATCCTTTGCTTACATTTTGGCCCCATGTAAAATGGTAAGTACCGTGGCTTTATCAGATGTAAAACTGTAAGGAGGTCAGAAACCTTTCTGAACCCTGAGAGCTTAGAGACTGCAACTTAAAAATAAGAATTAGATGATTCTCATTTCCTAAATAATCATAAAATTATACAGCTGGAAGAAAATCTAAAGGTTATCTGGTTCAATACCCTTGTGACAGACATCATCTGTTGACTCCTAATGAGCAATACCCTTGTACAGTCTCGCCTTGAAAGAGGTGCAAACTATGACTTATTTCTAAGCAGTAGAGTATGAGAAAAGTGATGGAATGTCACTCCCATGATTACTTTTAGTTATATAAGTCTCCATCTTAGTAGACCAGAGAGACAGATTTTCCTGTTTTCCTTGAGAAGCCACCACCCATATTGTGAACTGAGTATGGAGAGGTCCACATGGTGAGGAACTGTGGGCAACCTCTGAACAGCTTCCAGTCAACAGCCAATATAAACATGGGTCCCTCAGTAATCCAGGCACAAGGAAATGAATTCTACTACCAACCTGAATAAACTTGTAACCATATTCTTCCCTAGTCAAGAACACAGCCCAGGTAGCACCTTCATTGCAGTCTAGTGAGATTCTATACAGAACACCTAGCGAAGCTGTGATAAGATTTTTGACCTATGGAAATTAATGGGATAATAAATGTGTGTAAAAATATGTTACACATCGGGCGCCTGGGTGGCTCAGTTGGTTAAGCGACTGCCTTCGGCTCAGGTCATGATCCTGGAGTCCCGGGATCGAGTCCTGCATCGGGCTCCCTGCTCAGCAGGGAGTCTGCTTCTCCCTCTGACCCTCCTCCCTCTCGTGCTCTCTCTCATTCTCTCTCTCGCAAAAAAAAAAAAAAATATGTTACACATCAATACACTAACACAATACTAATTTTACAGATAAGGAAACAGGTCTGGAGCTTATATGATTTATGAACAGTATCCTTAAAATTGATAGCAGAGCTGAACATAGAACTGAAGATGTAGTTCTCACTTTGTATTTCTCTCTTTCTCTCTCTCTGCCTCTTTTTTTTCTTTTCTTTCCTTTTTTTTAATTTTTTTAAAATTTTTTTTTAGAGCAGCTTTAGGTTCACAGCAAAATTGAAGAGAAGGTACAGAGATTTCCCATATCCCCCCTTCCTCTACACATGCATAGCCTCCCCCATTATCAATATCCCTCTTCAGAGTGGTACATTTGTTACAATTGATGAACCTGTATTTACCCATCATAATAGCTCCAAGTCTGTAGTTTATATTACAATTTACTCTTGGTGTTATATATTCTTTGGGTTTGGACACATGCATAATGGCATTTTTCTTAATGAATGAATAACCAGATGTGGAAGAACAGTTAAATAGATTCTAAGCAAAATACATAAGATAAATAATATGAGTAACTATACAGAAAAACATTGTAGATTTTCCCCACCCATTATGTCTACTTTATGGCACCTTTTTTTAATGCTTCATGAAAAATTAAATAAGAATTATATATTTGAATTTGACTCTTTTTCAAGCCTTAGTCATCATTTGATAAGAAGATACTATACTTTTGAAAAATGATCAACAAAATGGAGAAGCAAGGAAAAGTATATCATTATCATATAGTTGTCAAGGAAAACAAAAGTATATCATCCTATAATCAAAAATATATTGAACAGAAAATTAGTTTTGTTTCAAAACCAAAAGAAAACAAAATATTTGAAATACTTGAAATTCAAAACTGTTATAAAATACCTATTGAGTGGAATGAACTCTACTGAAGATTCAACAAACTTATTTTTTCTCAAATTTCTATTAAAAAAATTGTGCTCATCACAAGTGCCCTCTACCCACCTAGCCTATCCCCCACCCCCATCCCTCCTTCAACCCTCAAGTTTGTTCTCTAAGAGTCTCTTACAGTTTCCCTCTCTCCCCCCCTTCCATATGTTCATCTGTTTTGTTTCTTAAGTTCCACATGAGTGAAATCATACGGTATTTCACTTTCTCTGACTGACTTATTTCACTTAGCATAATACTAACTCTATCCATGTCTTTGCGAACGGCAAGATCCCATTCTTTTTGATGGCTGAGTAATATTCCATTGTGTATATATACCACATCTTCTTTATGCATTCATCTTTCAATGGACAGTTGGGTTCTTTCCATAGTTTGGCTATTGTTGATAATGCTGCTGTGAACACTGGGGGGCATGTACCCCTTCAAATCTGCATTTTTTTGTCCTTTGGGTAAATACCTAATAGTGCAATTGCTGGATTGTAGGGTATTTCCATTTTCAACTTTGTGAGGAACCTCCATACTGTTTTCCAGAGTGGCTGTACCAGTTTGCATCCCCACCAACAGTGCAAGAGGGTTCCCCTTTCTCTGCATCCTTGCCAACATCTGTTGTTTCCTGACTTGTTAATTGTGGCCATTCTGACAGGTGTGAGATAGTATCTCATCCTGGTTTTGATTTGTATTTCCCTGATGATGAGTGATGTTTAGCATCTTCTCATGTGTCTGTTAGCCATCTGAATGTCTTCTTTGGAAAAGTGTCTGTTTATGTCTTCTGCCCATTTCTTAACTGGATTATTTGATTTTGGGGGGTTAAATTTGATAGGTTCTTTATAAATTTTGGATACTAACCCTTTATCAGATATGTCTTTTGCAAATATCTTCTCCCATTCTGTAGGCTGTCTTTTAGTTTTGTTGATTGTTTTCTTTGCTGTGCAGAAGCTTTTTATCTTGATGAAGTCACCATAGTTCATTTTTGCTTTTGTTCCCCTTGCCTCCAATGCTGTGTTTAGTAAGAAGTTGCTATGGCTGAGGTCAGAGAGGTTGCTGCCTATATTCTTCTCTAGGATTTTGATGATTTCCTATCTCACATTTAGGTCTTTCATCCATTTTGAATTTATCTTTGTATATTGTATAAAAAGATGGTCCAGTTTCATCCTTCTGAATGTTAAGATTTGGCAAACTTTAAAATTAAAAACATTTCAGTTTTTTAAATGTAATACGTATTTGCATATTGTCAGAAAAATACCCACTAAAGGTAATTTTCACAATAATTTGAATAAGTGAAAACATTCTTACCCTATTTTCTTAAACTCTGATATTCAATGCAGTTTAAGGAACAAATTCAATTCTTAGAAAGGGCCAGGTGTATTAATCATTGGAATTGCAGAAGTAAATGAGGTACAAATTCCCTCAAAGAGCTCACTGTCAAGTTCATATCCTCCTGCATGCTGGCATCATGAACAGAGAGAAAAATAACAGTCATCATAGGTATTTGGTTCATATGATTGTGAAGAGTGTATGTCAGTTGCCTGATTGGTGTTTAGTATAATGCTAGGTTCTCTAGAGTGTAAAAAAAAAAACAAATGCATTGTCCTTACATCTTAAGCACCTTATCATGGGCTTCAAAATAGTATAAAAAATAGAGGAGTTGTATTTTTTTACCCCAGGTGAAATAATCACATCTCCTTATTCCCCCTTTAATTCTTAAATATCATGACAAGCTAGAAATGAATCATGCACAATGAAACTTACCAAGGAGATTTTCACCCCCACATTTATGTGAGGGGCAGGGTGTCATGCCAGAAAAAGCACAAATTTTACTTAGATTTAGATAGATCTAAATATGGTCATATAACTTCTACGTGAATTTGGGAGTCATTTAACTCCTCCAAGTACTGAATGTGTGCTTTGCAGAGTTGTGAAAATCAAGTGAGATTTCTAGGTACCTGGCAGCCTGGCACCCATTAGATAACTAAAGATAATATTTTTGGACATGAACAAGAGTCTGCACAACATTTATTCACACTTTACTCTTTAATAATTGAAGCTTCACTGGTTACATGGTTTACCATTTAAGACTATATTTACAAGCTTCTCTTGCAATTAGTTGTAGTCCTATGATTAGTTGTAGTCTGGACAATGAAATGAAGCAGAAGTTACTGGTACAACTTCTAGATGATTTCTTAAACGGGAAGGGGACTTGCCTTCCTCCTCTTCTATTTCTCTCCCTCTTACAGGCTGAAATGTGAGTTTGATAATAAGCCTTATTCAATTTGGAGCAACGTCGGAATAGCAGAGAAACAAAAATGGAAGGGAGTCTGAGTCTCTGATACCTTCAATCTGCTCTACAGTCAATGGACTACCTACTCAAGCTGTTTTGGGGAGGAAGAAATAAATTACTCTTGGTGAGGAAAAGAAAATCAACTATATTATTGAATCTCTGAATACAGAAGTCTAACCTTGAATCTTCATCAATATATCCGTCTAGCTGACTAATACGTCATCCTGTATTTATTGCCTAAGTCCCGATGTTTTCGCCAAACTTTATAAAATGATAGGACTACATTACGTTCACTAACTTTTAGTCCTCATATATGTAATTTCAGAATCAAGTGCATTTTCAAGATCCATTGGTTTTTCCTCTTAAGTATTTCTTAAATTCCCCATAAGGTTTCTCACAGTGCTAGTAAAGTAATCAAGGCTGCTTGACATCTGTTCTGGGACTTTGTTCATCTCTCTTTATGTTCTATGGTATACCCTAAGGAACTTCCAAGCAGCCTGTATCCCACCTTCTAAAATGTAAATATCTTGTAGTTTGGGTCCTTAAGTCTCAATGGTAATGCTGTTTTTCTTTGTTTTGAACTTTTAATTTATTTTTTAGTTATTATTTGTTTTGTTTTAAACTTTTTAGTTGATATTTTAAAATAAGAGAAATAGATCTGATTTTACTAATACAGGATTCTCTACCTCAAAACAAAGCATGAAGTTTCAAGAAAATTTGAAAAAAAATCTGAATGATTGCCATTTGCATCTTCTATAATAATGCAGACTTTGATTTCCTAAAAGAGGATTGGTTCAAATGCATACTCGTATAAAATGGAAAAATTCTAATATAGAATCATTTGAATTTTGTGAATGAAGAGTGTAATGAAAGAGAGAAGAGAGGAGTACATATATTTAAAATAGAATTCTTTTTATTAAAACTTTCTGGAAAGCCTTTACTAAACTTCAATTCATTTTCTTGTTCTCAAAATACAGGAAAGCAGCTAATTGAAGGAAAACAATGTAAAACCATTTTTAGAATACAAAGGGAATAAATAAATAAAATATACATATATGTGCACATATGTATGTATGTCTGTGTGTACACACACACACACTACACACACACAGAATCAAAGGTCAGTGCCAAATAGCCTTAGTTCTACTGGCAGTAGCTTTATTTTCAAGGCAGTAGCAGCTAGTTGGTCAACGTAAGTAAACACTGTGAAGAATTTCTTTTACAGAGTCTATATTCCTTAACTCTTTTCATGTAGAAAGAGGGCAAGCCGTATGGGGAAAACTAGCAATGGGCTTCTATATTTTAGTAAGATTTTCTGTAATGCAAATTTGGAAATATATTTTGGTTTGGCCAAGAACCATCTAGTGGTTGTTTTACTATAGAAAAAGGCAAAGTCATGAGCTATGACCTACAGATTTGGATCCTACTTACCAAGGTGGAAAACTTGGAGTCACCCAAGTAGTAAGTCTTTTGGCACAGTAACCCACAACTAAAAATTGTTCAGTGAATTTGCAAGTTTATACATAACACTATTAAATGAAAAAGTAGCTTTCCTGTTGACTCCAGCCACAAAGCACATATACATGACCAAACATTTACAGCTAAACTGACAATGCCAAATAAAGGGAGGAGGGAGCAGGAAAGGAAGGAAATAATCATTTATATGAATTGGAAATATAAAATGTTCCAAGCAAAAATGAGTTACATTTTGAAAGTATTTTTTCAATGTCAAAATGTTTTCAAATGAGCCAAAAAAAAAAAAATGGAAAACACTTCTTACTTACAGACATAATTAGACTCAAATATTCCGCCCATTAGCATTGTCTTTCCCCACAATGCTCTCTCTGTTTATTACTAATTATTCTCTACTGCTCATTGTGTCCAGATGACTACATGTATAATAATGTCAGCATAAGCATGTAACGAATATAATCATTGGTTTTCCCCTAATAGATTTGTATGAAGAACAAAAAGCCCCTCAGAAGCTAGGTTTCAGTGATTTTATGAAATGCTGATTTACCCACCATCCGCTGGCTAGATCAGTCCTTTTGCTTCTTTGTTACAATTATATCCACATGCCTAAGATGATCCCATGGAGTTACAGGATATGGAAGTATTTCCAGCATTAACAAAAAAGATTGGAATGTGGCCAGTAGTATTAAATGTATTTTATTGAATAAAAATTTTAAGAAAAATTGATAGTGTGTTCTATGTGTCAACTATATAGAATTATTCACATTTTCCTGAGTAAGCCATATTCTCTTATGCTTTCATGCATCCATTGAATGGGACCTTTTCTTTACCGTAAATTTTCTCTTCCCTTTATATCCCTGAGAAACTCCTAACAGTTTTTGTGTTCAATATTCCCCATATGCAACAAAACTTGCTCTTCTGGTAATTTTTGCATGACTCTTTTGTAGTGCTCGTTATACTGTATTCTGCTTTTTTTTTTTTTTACACATTTGTTTTATTAGAGTATAAACATCTCAAGGTCATATAATCTGCCTTATTTGCCTATGTATCTATCCCCTGTTCCTAGGATTTTGCTAGTATAGTCATGATCAAAATATTAGCAAATCTTTAATGTAGTTAAAATTTACACAATGCTTAGGATTACAAAGAGTTACTTTCTCATATATTATCTCATTTAATCTTTTAGCAACCCAGTTAACACAGATATGTGATGAACTAGAACAATGTAGTATTTAGTCCAGTTAAATAGCATAATAGTAATTTCTAAACTTGGCAACTGATCAAACTCACCAGAGAAGATTTCTTACAAATTAGAAGCTGTGTTCTGTTTTGTTTTATTTTGTTTTGCTCTTACAAAGAAAGCTCCATGGCCATTCTAGGTATGTAACTATATCTGTATCTTTACATATATATCTATACCTACTTTTCTGGATATATTTAGAGGTTATATTGCCATAGGTGGATTGGTGCTTCCAAAGATATATGCATTTAAAATTTTGATAGATGTTGCAATCGGTTTCCAAAATTTTGAATTGATTTGCATTCACACCAAGGAAAATTGAGAATTACTGATTCATCATGTGTTTGCCTACATAGGTAATAGCCAACTTTAATCTTGGACGATCCTGGTTGTGAAAATTAGCATCTTATTTCTGTTATACTTGAGTTTTGTTAATTATGAGTGACGTTGAGCATCTCTTCATGTTTTTTTTGGCCATTTGTGTATATGCACATGTGTGTGCCATCTGTTCATATTCTTGACCCATATTTCTTTCATACTGTTAGTCTTTTCTATATTTTTTGTCGAGCTTTAGTATAGTAAGGAAATTAGTCCTTTTACATGACTTACAAATATTGCTGTTATCTTGGGAGAGTGGTTTAAACATTCAGAGCATAGGCACCTCCCCTCTTCCCTCTAGCCTTGACCTATTGAATATAAATGAGAACTAGGAATCTAAAATTTTGTAAAACTTCCCCCAGGTTATTCTACTGTAGTTGACCCATAGATAGTGTTTGAAAACTATTGACTTATATAGCAGGCATGAAATTACAAAAATTACAAAAAATCTGTGTTGCTAGAGAAGCTATTTTTAATAGTAACATGCAAGGAAGAATCATGGAAACCATGACTCTACCCAACTGGGAATCCTTTTCTCAAAGGTGTTAATCTGGAAGTCATTTTTCCTGACAAAAGGATCATGGTTATAAAAACTCCTCTTGATATCATAGCATGGTAGAAATATAGAAACTTTCCAAGAAATAGAGCTATAAATCTATTTATGGGGTATCTCAAAAAAGATATTTTGTAGAGCATTTGGAAGAAAGTATTCTGTACAATGACATGGGCCAAATGGAGATGCAAAGGCTAAGAATTATTCATAAATGAAAGTAAGACCTGGTCAGCAATAGCTGATGATAAAAGGGGCATAATTATTCTGGACGAGAGATACTGCAGAGAACTATGCCAATTCTTTAATTATGAAAGATTGATTATCATATAGTTTTATACCTGTTATATTGTAGTAGTAGTAGTAGTAGTAGTAGTAGTAGTAGTAAGTAGTAGCAGCAGCTAATATTTTAAGCATTTTTCTAAATATTTTATGTGTGCTATGTGACTTAGTCCCTAAAAAGTAGCCACTATCATCCTTTTTTTACAGAAAACAATTGAGTTTTAAAGGGGTTAAATAGATTGGCTGAGGCTGTTCAGATGGTAGGTGGCAGAGGTAGGCTTTGAACAGTACAGCTCAAGAGCCCATACTCATAACTGCCATGGTTTACTTCTTAAACTTTATAGTTCATTTTTCATTTAGTAAGGTGATTGACTTGAAGTTAACATTCTACAGACTGGGTCTAGACTCTAGGAAATACCCTGTTTTTTTCTCTTCTCATATTTCCACATTAGCCCATAAACAAGAAAATTGCCACCAATCTTCCAGGCTATTGAGAAAATATAGAAAGGCAGAGTCTGTCTTTTTCTGTTTTCTTATTTGCTCCTCTCCCTAGAGGTAGTTGCTTCCTCAAGTTCCTTATCTGTGTTAAAAAATTATGACTTCTATGTACCATCCTCGTAAATGTACTTTTCTCTCTCTCTCTCTTTCTCTCACTCTCTCTCTCTCGGTACCATTTACTCTCTCCCAGACTAACTGCGGGCTTATATTGTTTCCACTCCATAAAATAAGGGAGAGAACTGGGCTTCAACCTATGAGACCCAAGGAGCTTTCAGCTCACTCTGCTCCATGTCCTCTACCTGGGCTGAAGCTGACATAGTAAGCTTACCCCTCTGGAACCATTCTGTGGTTTTGCAGTTGGTTGGATTTGGTGGGAAATCCTACAGGAATGATCACTGCCTCCCATTAGAAGACATTGTTCACTAGGTGGTTATCTTTTAGAAAAAGAGTAAGGACTAACATTTGAAGAACAACAAATCATCCCATAGAAGGATGGGTAGACTTCATTTGGCTGTAGTGGTTCATGCTCACTGGTCAGAAACTGGATTTACAGGCACCTGCTGGTTTTCAAGTTTCGACTATTGGGCTGCAGGGTACAGCTTTTAGTATGACCTCAGTTCAAGGTTTTTTTAAGCAAGAAAACTCATTTCAAGGGTTAAGAAAGCTTTGTTCAGAATTTTGAATAGGAGAGATCTGGTTTGGAGCAGAGTGAGATTTCTTTCCTCATCTTAGAAATCTTTCTTAGGGGGCACCTGGGTGGCTCAGATGGTTAAGTGTCTGCCTTCGGCTCAGGTCATGATCCTAGGGTCCTGGGATCGAGTCCCGCATTGGGCTCCCTGCTAGGCGGGGAGCCTGCTTCTCCCTCTGCCTCTGCCTCCCTCTCTCTCTCTCACTCTCGTGAATAAATAAATAAAAGATTAAAAAAAAAAAAGAAATCTTTCTTAGGAAGTTTTGTGTAGAATACTGGCTTTATTTCTCCAAGGACTTGCTACAGCCAGCCGTGGCCATGAAAGCTAGAGACAAATAATGAGCGGGCTTTGCTTTGGTATCTGGTCTTCTAGTTTGTTTTTCTATTCTTGCAACCTCTTTGTAAACCAAGGTGAAGATAACTATGGACACCAAAGTTAGACTTTGGAATGACAAAAGAGCAGTGAAGTAATGTTATGCAAGCCTAA